CATATTTAGTATTTTAATAATGAAAGATTATGTTATTCAAATTTTATTATTTATGTGTTGTGGTTTGCGGGATAGAGGGTATCACACGGCCTAAGCGGCACATGGACCACTCTAATATATATCAAAACATATCCAAACTCAAAATTAAACATAGATTCATGCTCAGTAATCATCAGAGAATACAACAGAAAACTCAGAAGCCAAAACATAAAACATTTAAAATTTGCCTATTTCTCATAGGGTTTTCCTCAAGAACCCATAGAGTACTTTAATCCATATCAAAACTTATCTATTATTGAAATAATTGAACATATATTCACACTTAGAATCATACAAGGAATGCAAAAGAACAGTCAAAAAGCAAACAGAAAACATTCATAAAATGCATGTTTTCATAGGCTTACATCAAGTAAAGGATTGTGGGCCAATTCGACTACCCAACATATATTCCTACACTCCTAAGTGAGGTCTGTCACTCCCCCCTTACCTTATGGGTAGAAGACAAAGCACGTACGGTTCTCCATTGACCTCCTCCTCATGTTTCTCTTGAGTCTTTAGAACACACGCGTAGAAAAGAAGGAGAAAGTTAGAAACATGAAAATAACCCCTGACAACCTCCTTTCATAAAAATAATAAAAATAAATAAATAATAATAATACTATTTAGCAAAAGATCACTACGTCCCTCCTTCCCTTCTCAAAAATAATTAAAATAATTAAACATATTTCCTCCTTTTAAAAAAATAACATAAATGTAATTATTGATAAAAAACATATTTTCATAAAAATAGTTTGTTAGAGTTCTGTCATGGAGGAGTGAAAAATAGAGAAAGTGTTTATCTGTATTGATGCACATAGAACCGAGTACAGCAAATGAATAAAGTGTCTTGTATAGACACTATTACAATTGTTAAAAAATAAGGATTTATGACTATTTATTATTTCCCTTTACACCCCCTCTCAAACTCATGTTGCCTACTGTGGTAACCATGAGTTTGCTACGAAACGCTTCAAACTGAGGAGCAGAAATGGCTTTGGTAAGTATATTAGCAATCTGAAATTGTGCAGGTAGATGAACAACTTGGATAGCTCCTTCAATAACTTTGTCCCTGACAAAATAGAGGTCAAGCTCAAAATGTTTCGTTCTTGAGTGCATCACTGGATTAGCAGCTAGCAACACCGCACCAAGATTATCACAATAGATTTTTGGAATTATAGTTGGAATCCGTAATTCACTGAGAAGAGACTGCAACCAAAGTAACTCAGTAGTAGCTGCTGCCAGACTTCAAAATTCAGCCTTAGTGCTTCTCCTTGACACAACTTTTTGCTTCTTTGAACACCAAGAAATAAGATTGCCTCCTAGATAGACACAAAAACCTGTTGTAGACTTTCTAGCATCAAGATCTGATCCCCAATCAGAATCAGAAAAGGCTTGTAAGGTGAGGTGAGTTGGCCTTTTAAAATGTAAACCATAGTCAATGATGCCTTGTAAATATCTCAAAATTCTTTTCAGTGCTTTCCAGTGATGTTCCTGAGGTTGGTGCATATATTGGCATACTTTGTTAATGGAGTAAGAAAGTTTGGGCCTTGTGATTGTAATATATTGTAGACCTCCTACAATGGACGTGTAAAAAGAAGGATCGGACATAGCTATAGAAGCATCAGATGTGAGTTTCAAACCTGAAACCATTGGTGTTGGCAGAGGTTTGGAGTCATCCATTTTGGCTCTATGAAGAAGATGACGAATATATTTAGCCTGAGACAGAAAAAAACCTCCATCGTTACTAGTTGAGACCTCAATGGCCAAGAAATAGTGTAACTGTCCAAGGTCCTTAAGACTAAACATAGAGTTTAACTTGGATATAAGTGTTGTAACTTCAGATGCTGAACTGCCTGTGACTATAATGTCATCAACATAAATCAGCAGCAACAATGTGGAGTAAGGTGTTATTCTGATCAATAAAGAGGTATCACTCTTAGCTGTGTGTTGTGGTTTGCGGGATAGAGGGTATCACACGGCCTAAGCGGCACATGGACCACTCTAATATATATCAAAACATATCCAAACTCAAAATTAAACATAGATTCATGCTCAGTAATCATCAGAGAATACAACAGAAAACTCAGAAGCCAAAACATAAAACATTTAAAATTTGCCTATTTCTCATAGGGTTTTCCTCAAGAACCCATAGAGTACTTTAATCCATATCAAAACTTATCTATTATTGAAATAATTGAACATATATTCACACTTAGAATCATACAAGGAATGCAAAAGAACAGTCAAAAAGCAAACAGAAAACATTCATAAAATGCATGTTTTCATAGGCTTACATCAAGTAAAGGATTGTGGGCCAATTCGACTACCCAACATATATTCCTACACTCCTAAGTGAGGTCTGTCACTCCCCCCTTACCTTATGGGTAGAAGACAAAGCACGTACGGTTCTCCATTGACCTCCTCCTCATGTTTCTCTTGAGTCTTTAGAACACACGCGTAGAAAAGAAGGAGAAAGTTAGAAACATGAAAATAACCCCTGACAACCTCCTTTCATAAAAATAATAAAAATAAATAAATAATAATAATACTATTTAGCAAAAGATCACTACGTCCCTCCTTCCCTTCTCAAAAATAATTAAAATAATTAAACATATTTCCTCCTTTTAAAAAAATAACATAAATGTAATTATTGATAAAAAACATATTTTCATAAAAATAGTTTGTTAGAGTTCTGTCATGGAGGAGTGAAAAATAGAGAAAGTGTTTATCTGTATTGATGCACATAGAACCGAGTACAGCAAATGAATAAAGTGTCTTGTATAGACACTATTACAATTGTTAAAAAATAAGGATTTATGACTATTTATTATTTCCCTTTACACCCCCTCTCAAACTCATGTTGCCTACTGTGGTAACCATGAGTTTGCTACGAAACGCTTCAAACTGAGGAGCAGAAATGGCTTTGGTAAGTATATTAGCAATCTGAAATTGTGCAGGTAGATGAACAACTTGGATAGCTCCTTCAATAACTTTGTCCCTGACAAAATAGAGGTCAAGCTCAAAATGTTTCGTTCTTGAGTGCATCACTGGATTAGCAGCTAGCAACACCGCACCAAGATTATCACAATAGATTTTTGGAATTATAGTTGGAATCCGTAATTCACTGAGAAGAGACTGCAACCAAAGTAACTCAGTAGTAGCTGCTGCCAGACTTCAAAATTCAGCCTTAGTGCTTCTCCTTGACACAACTTTTTGCTTCTTTGAACACCAAGAAATAAGATTGCCTCCTAGATAGACACAAAAACCTGTTGTAGACTTTCTAGCATCAAGATCTGATCCCCAATCAGAATCAGAAAAGGCTTGTAAGGTGAGGTGAGTTGGCCTTTTAAAATGTAAACCATAGTCAATGATGCCTTGTAAATATCTCAAAATTCTTTTCAGTGCTTTCCAGTGATGTTCCTGAGGTTGGTGCATATATTGGCATACTTTGTTAATGGAGTAAGAAAGTTATGCATTGCTCCAAATGCAACCCTAGATGCCTCCCCTCCTATAAATACCCAACACCCCACCACTTGTAAATACTTTGGATTATATAGAATTTGAGTGAGCTTTTATGCCTCAAGTCCTTATCCTTAGTCCCTAGGGTTACTTCGGCTAGCCTTCCTTCATTCTCCACCCTTGGAGAGTGAAACCTAGAGTGGCCTCCAACTACTTTGGAGTGAGCCAACTTTGAGCCACCAAACACCTTCTCCTAAATAGCTTCCGCCAAACTCCTCCCTTCTCACGCCAACTTCCTTTCCTTCACCAAGTACCTACCTTTTGTCTACCTTGTTAAACCTAGATCAAGGGCCAAGGCTTCCTCTCTACATTCCCTACGTCAAGCATGGAGGAGGAACCCCTCACCCAAAAGTCTTAAGAAAATTATAATCAGGAGGTGTTTGGAAAAGCGTTTGATGAGGACTCAATTTGTTCAATGAAGGAGTAGGTAAGTAGTTAATGAGAGTAGTAGTAGTTAAAAAGCCTTCTGCCAAAAAATGAAGAGGTAAGGAAGCATTGGTAAGAAGAGTTAACCCAGTTTCCACAATGTGCCTATGCTTCCTCTCAGGACTACCATTTTGTTCATGTGTGTGGGGACAAGAAAAATGATGTTTAATTCCATGTTCTGTTAGATACTTAGTAAATTTAATATATTCTTTTGCATTATCCGACTGAAGAGCTTTAACTTTCATGCCTAGCTGAAGTTCAGCAGAGGTTTTAAATTGAACAAAAGCATCAAAAGCTTGAGATTTAGAATTTAAAAGGTAAATCCATGAATATCTAGAATAAGCGTCTAAAAATATAATGTAGTGTCTAGCACCAGTAGAGGAAGGTACAGGAGAAGGGCCCCAAATATCAGTAAAAACAAGTTCAATAGGACTTTTATATTCAGTAGTTGATTGTACAAAAGGTAGTTGATGAGCTTTACCCATACAACACGAGTCACACAAAAAAGAATCAGGAAAATGAATACTAGGTATATTACAATGTTTTAAAGCGAATTTTACAATTCTAGGAGAGGGATGTCCAAGCCTTGAATGCCAAAGTTGGAAGAGAGAATGATTAGAGTCCTTTTGAACAGGATGAGCAGAAACAGTTTGAACCTTTTGAAATTGGGGAAACACATACAAGTCGTCCTTAAGATGCCCTTGGAGGATGATGTCCTTGGTGTCCTGAGTTTTAACATTACAACAATCAGGCCAAAACTCAAAAAACACCCTATTATCTCTTGCGAATTTGGAAACACTAAACAAATTTGTAGTTATGGATGGGACATGAAGCAAATTATGCATAACAAAATGTTTAGATGACATAGGATTATGGAAACAGGAATGACCAACATGACTGATATGCAAACCTGTACCCTTACCAATATTGACAGAATCAGTTCTAGTGTAAGCACTCTTCATGGATAGATTGGATTCATCATGAGTAATATGATGAGATGCACCCGAGTCTGGGTACTAGAGGGGGTCTTGCACAGTTGAAGCAGTTGCAAGAGTAATGGTCTCTGAGATATCATATCCACTAGGTTGAAACTGAGTGTTATTGGCCTGAGGGTGATTTTGATACTCTTGATTGTACCTGTAATAACAGTTAAGAGCAATATGGCCAATTTTACCACAAATCTGACAGGTGGATTTATTTTGATTCCAATTGTTTTGACCAGTTTGATTCCAATTTGAGCGTCCATTGCCTCTACCAGCATTAAACCTGCCTCTATTGTTCCAATTTCCACCTCTATTATGAAATCTTCCCCCACGAAATTCTTCTCGTGTATTGAAAGCAGATCTACCACGACCTTGGTTGGGGTTCTGCCATTGATTTGGACCAGAAACAGTATTTGCATGAATAAGAGGGGTGTCTGAACGCTTTTGCTTTTCAGATCTCTCTTCATGAGCAAGCAATAATGCCTCTATCTCATCAACAATGTATGGATCAAGTCTAGACGTGATGGAAGTAACGAAACAATCAAACTCATCCGGCAAACCATCCAGAATTGCATCAATATGATCTTCATCAGAAATAGGCGGTCCAACTGCAGCAAGAGAGTCAACAATTTTCTTGATTTCTAGGAGATATTCATTGATACCTTTATCTTTCTTGATCATCCGAAGCTGCAATTTCAATTTCTTGATAACAGCTCGTGTGCGTGCAGCATAATATACCTCTAACCTCTTCCAAATTTGATAAGCAAATTTCAATCCTACCATCTTTGTCAAGATTGGTGAGGACATTGATGCCAAGAGCCACGCGACAAGCAGTTGATCTTGTTGAACGTAATTGGTGTATTCAAGATTCTCTGTTTTTGCTTCAAGATTCTCCATCTTCGCAGTTTCATTTTCTTTTGTAGCAAAACGTGGTGGAATTGCATCTCCACGAACAAATTTCTCAAGTTTTAACCCTCGAATTGTTGCAAGAACCTGTTGTTCCCAAATCAGGAAAATATCATCATCTAATTTGATAGCAATCGGCGTATTGAGTGTGTGTGGAACGAATTGAGATGCGGAAGTCATGGTTGATGTCACAGTGCTCTTGATACCATGTTAGAGTTTTGTCATGCAGGAGAGAAAAACAGAGAAAGTGTTTATCTGTATTGATGCACACAGAACCAAGTACAACAAATGAATAAAGTGTCTTATATGGACACTATTACAACTATTAAAAAATAAGGATTTATCACTATTTATTATTTCCCTTTACATAGTCTTATAGCAAATAATCCAAATATTAATTAAAAATCATGTTTTATATTAAAATAGAGGTCACATAAAATAGATAAATAATATAAAATATACTTCTCCTTTTTAGTAAAAATAACATGTTTTATATAAAAAAAATAAAGCTCATATCAAATGGCTAAATAATATTAAAAATCTTTCTAATAAACACATTAAAACATTCAAATAAATACTATGTAATATTAATATAATTTTATGAAAATTAAGGTGTTATACTAACATTATTGCATTTGTAACAAGGACACCTAATTGTATTTTTAGGCTTTAGTCCAAAGAAAGCAAATTCTAAAAAATCTTCGAGTAAATAAAATATTTAGAATTAATGCAATGGTTCCACTAACATAAGAGTAGAGAATTCACATTCGTAAACTGAAATCATGGTCAAATGCGGAATTTATAAGAAAGTGAAACATGAGTTTTTCCAAAACAAAATAACAATAATGAAATCCTAAACTAAGCCTAGCTATGCCCCGATGTCACATATCCTATCAGAGCATGCCCAACTAAAGCCTAAGCCTCATCACGAACATCCTCATGCTGATGATCACCTGCAACACAATTTAAACACATACAAAGAATAACAAGGGAGTGAGAAACATCTCACTCAGGTTCAGGTGTAGAAATAAAGGTTAGGTAACACACACAACAAACATAATACAAGTCACAAGCACAAATCACATATGAACAATACACATATCACCGGTGTGCTGCCTAAACAAAACACCTAAGGTAGTCTAGCAGTACACGTAGGGAGCTACCCATACACTCTCAACTAGAAGGATATACTGCTAGAGTCTGGTCAGGATAGCGAAGCTGTGCAAGTTACATCTCGTGCTCACAAACGGGTGGAATCGAGACATCCAAACCGCACTATCCCCTAGGACTCCCCTAAGCTATGACACAATAGGAGGGCCCTCCCTAACTGTGTACTCCATATCGTACCCGCACTAGTGGAAAAAAGACTTTTAAGATCAGTTATTTTTGACTTTTAAGATCAATTAAAAAACTGATCTTAAAAGAGACGATCTTAAAAGCTAAACTTTTAAGATCGATTATTTAACCGATATTAAAAGTCTAGCTTTTAAGATTGGTCACAGAATAACTGATCTTAAAAGTATCACGTTTAATTTTTTTGTAATTTTAATAAATTTATTAATGTAACAACACTCATATTTGGCCTCATTTATTAATGTAACAACCCTCATATTTGGCCTCTCAAGGATGCTATTTCACGACATTTCACTTTTCAACGTGTTTTGTCCTTACTGCACATTTTCTGGGAAACTTCCCAGAAGGTCACCCATCCCTATATTACTCCAAGTCAAGCACGCTTAACTGTGGAGTTCTGATGAGATAAGCTATCGAAAAGTAAATGCATGTTGTCAGTATAAGTAGTACAAATTAATTCATTTAAGTCGTCCTCAACTATGCAATCTCATACTTATACTATTTTTTGATGCCTTTCATTTTGGTGTGTCCAGACCACTATAAAAATATAATAATTATATTATATTTAATTAATTTTTATTTATATATATACTTACTTGTATAATTAACAATCTACTTATTTCTATTTAAAATTAATATTATGATACAATTTAAATTATTTATTATAAATTTAAAAGTTTAAATAATAATTTATAAATACTATGATATAATTTAAATTATTTATTATAAATTTAAAAGTTTAAATAATAATTTATATATTTTAAAATGATAAGGGTTATAATAATACCGGTGTAACTTTTAATAAGTATTACATCGCTTAATAACTTTATATTAAATGTGAATTTCGTAAATCCAACCGTTAGATTAAAAGTTCATATCACTTTATATGTTTATATCAAATTTTGTTAAAATTGAACAACAACTTGAAGGTAATCAAAGTGTTCTTATTTTAGTATATTTTGAAATGTATATATTACGTCAATTTTGTTTTATAAGAATGAAGTATCAAATCATCTTGAATTAATATAAAATTTTGTATATATGAGCTAAGAGTAAAAAACTTTCAACCTAACAGTTGAATTTATAAAATTCACATTTAATATAAAATTATTGAGCGGTGTAATACTTAATAAAATTTACACCGCTGTTATTATAACTCTTCTCTTTTAAAATATTATTTTTATAAATTAAATTTAACATTTTAAATAAATTATTAATTAACTTAATATATTTATTCATCTTAAAATATGACTAAGGGAGGCGCATGCGAGGAAGAATGACTAAGGGAGAGTGTTGCACTTTTTAAATAGTTACAGTACTTTTAAGATCGGTTCTTCTGTGACCGATCTTAAAAGTTATGTCTGACACAACTTTTAAAATTGGTTACAAAATAACCAATCTTAAAAGTGGTTTTTAAGATTGGTTATTTTGTAACCGATCTTAAAAGTGTTCACATTATTTACAAAATTGCCACTACGTCACTATTAAGATTGGTTACCTTTTAGCGGATCTTAAAACCTCGATTTTAAAACTAATTTTTCCACTGGTGTCGTCACATAGATGCACATGATGCATGTCACACACATTCACACTTCATGGACTCATCACTTTACTTGTCATGGAACTTCATGTCTTATCTCATTTCATCACGTTTCACATTGTCATAGTCATAGTGTTCACAATAGCACGTATTTGACATCATGTCTCAAAAAATACTTCACTTACGTTAAACAGTAATAAGTCAATTCTCACAGAATTTTCACTATCAAACAAGACATAAAACATGTAAAACATCATAGGGATCACGCCTGGCGCGCCCTAACTCGCGCCCGGTGCATTAAATGTCGCTCTAGAAATAGAGCATCACTCCCAGCGTAGCTTTACACGCGCTCGGCGTGACTTTCTTGCCCTCGGCGCAACTTTCCAGAGCCCGACTTAATTTTCCTGAGCCCGACTTAATTTTCCTGCGTCTGACGCCCTTAGTGCGAACTTACACTTCGCAATCAAACGATTTACCATAACCAACATGTAATCATATCAATCAATTGGTAAAATTCCTCCAAATAACACTTAGAACATAAATCCATACTCAATTTTACATAAAATACCTCAAAATTTTGTCAAAAGATCATACCCCTAATTGTTTCTCAAAGGGTTTCCCACAGGAACCCACAAAGCACTCTAATTCATATCAAAACTTATCTAATTTCGAAATCAAACACATATTCACGCATCACATCCAACAAGGAACACAACAGAAAACTCATACATCAAAACAGAAAACATTCATAATTTGCTTGTTCCTAGAAGCATGCATCCAGCAAGGGATTGGGGGTCAATCCTGTCGCAACCTGAATTTTTCCGATCTCGCGACTAATGGTCCTATGCTTCCTCTCAGGACTACCATTTTGTTCATGTGTGTGGGGACAAGAAAAATGATGTTTAATTCCATGTTCTGTTAGATACTTAGTAAATTTAATATATTCTTTTGCATTATCCGACTGAAGAGCTTTAACTTTCATGCCTAGCTGAAGTTCAGCAGAGGTTTTAAATTGAACAAAAGCATCAAAAGCTTGAGATTTAGAATTTAAAAGGTAAATCCATGAATATCTAGAATAAGCGTCTAAAAATATAATGTAGTGTCTAGCACCAGTAGAGGAAGGTACAGGAGAAGGGCCCCAAATATCAGTAAAAACAAGTTCAATAGGACTTTTATATTCAGTAGTTGATTGTACAAAAGGTAGTTGATGAGCTTTACCCATACAACACGAGTCACACAAAAAAGAATCAGGAAAATGAATACTAGGTATATTACAATGTTTTAAAGCGAATTTTACAATTCTAGGAGAGGGATGTCCAAGCCTTGAATGCCAAAGTTGGAAGAGAGAATGATTAGAGTCCTTTTGAACAGGATGAGCAGAAACAGTTTGAACCTTTTGAAATTGGGGAAACACATACAAGTCGTCCTTAAGATGCCCTTGGAGGATGATGTCCTTGGTGTCCTGAGTTTTAACATTACAACAATCAGGCCAAAACTCAAAAAACACCCTATTATCTCTTGCGAATTTGGAAACACTAAACAAATTTGTAGTTATGGATGGGACATGAAGCAAATTATGCATAACAAAATGTTTAGATGACATAGGATTATGGAAACAGGAATGACCAACATGACTGATATGCAAACCTGTACCATTACCAATATTGACAGAATCAGTTCTAGTGTAAGCACTCTTCATGGATAGATTGGATTCATCATGAGTAATATGATGAGATGCACCCGAGTCTGGGTACTAGAGGGGGTCTTGCACAGTTGAAGCAGTTGCAAGAGTAATGGTCTCTGAGATATCATATCCACTAGGTTGAAACTGAGTGTTATTGGCCTGAGGGTGATTTTGATACTCTTGATTGTACCTGTAATAACAGTTAAGAGCAATATGGCCAATTTTACCACAAATCTGACAGGTGGATTTATTTTGATTCCAATTGTTTTGACCAGTTTGATTCCAATTTGAGCGTCCATTGCCTCTACCAGCATTAAACCTGCCTCTATTGTTCCAATTTCCACCTCTATTATGAAATCTTCCCCCACGAAATTCTTCTCGTGTATTGAAAGCAGATCTACCACGACCTTGGTTGGGGTTCTGCCATTGATTTGGACCAGAAACAACTAAACTCCATGTATTATTCTTAAGTAAAGCTTCATATTCATCTTTCATAGCTTGACACCATTCAGGTTTAGAGAGGGCTTCCTTCACGGATGTGGGCTCAATTGTATGATCATAGGTTGATCTGTCAGGTGTAGTAACATAGGTTTTAGGCTTTAA